AGTGTGAGTGCATTGGTTTTAGTCAATTATGGTGACTATCCCTAGGGTGCCTCACATCGCCTGCTTGCAGCAGGAGTTATACAAAACAACTGCAGCACTGTTAGATCTCTTTTTAACAATTTACCTACAATAATTCTATTTTTAACTCCAGGGTTTACAGCAGAGGTTATCATTAAAATATGTACATTTGTTAAATGAATTAAAACATTATGAGCTGATGTGCTGCTTCACATATTGTAGCAAGACTTGATGAGTTTGGTGTGTCGACTAGGATCCTTTGCAACTTCTACAGCTGCATCATCGAGAGCATCTTGACCAGTTGCATCACTATCTGGTAAGGCAGCACTACTGCTATGGACAGCAAGTGCCTGCAGAGAGTGGTAAAGACTGCGGGGAAGATCACCAGGACTCCACTACCCTAGATCCAGCACGCACTGTTCGCCTCCCTACCCTCTGGCCGGAGGTTCAGAAGTGTGAAATTCAGGACCTCCAGACTGAAAAACTCTCTTTTTCCCTCTGCCATCAGACTCTTAAACAGCTGAGGAGTTTATTACCAGGAAATACGTCATGTACTGACGACCTGTACTGTTTACATTCTCAGTTTGCATATGCATAATTGCACATTGACTGTTGACTGCTGCACATGCTGCTCCCATGCTTATTATATTCTTATATATTTTTATTATATTGCTGCATTTGCTGCTTAAATGATGATGCCTTAGATTTAGTGTTACTTATTTATCTACTTTATATTTCATTTGTATTTTGTGGCATTCATGATTGCTGCTTATGATGCCTTAGATTTAGTGTTACTTATTTATCTACTTTATATTTCATTTGTATTTTGTGGCATTCATGTGGACGACAAAGTAAGAAATTCATTGTACAGGGAAACACGTTTCCTAACTGTGCATATGGCAAAATAAACACTTTGACTTTGAAGTGACTTTGCAAACCAGCAACTAATCGCGGCTCTTATTTTGAAATGGTCTACGGAAGCGCAGTTCTCTCTTTATCGTTGATGCTTGGAGCTGCAGCTTGTTCTGTTGCAGAGGACGACTTGCAGCTTCTCTTGGTACTTCTCCAAATGCCACCGGGTACTAACAGCGGCCTCGGACGGAGAACGGGACCGCGACGCACGGGACTCATCGGGAACATGGCGGCGGTAACAACAAGCTGCTCGGTACCGTGGAGACGATAGGTTCATCAGGCCGCGGCTGGCGGGCTTATAACAGAGCAGCATCACTTAACACAGGTCTACCTATCTGTGTCTATCTATCACGTTCCGGAATGATAAATATCTTCTATAGTAGGCTGCATGCGTTAATTACCGTAGGTCTAAATTAGTAACTGCAGCATGTCTGTAGTATACACTGTGCAATACAACGCTATATTATGGTATAAAATGTAGAATCAATGTGGTGTCACTTTCTGATCAGCCTCCATTTTAAAAGTGGTATAAGCTGTAACTATTAATGTCTCATTCATTTACTAATGATTTATAGAGCAGTTATAAGCCATTAATAAGAACAACTTTTGGGTTGCCAGGTCAAAGAAAGTCCTCCTGACGCCAATTCATTGGTGAGGTCTGCCACTGGAAAATGTTGCTGGACAAACGCCTGACACAGAAAGCTGTTTACAGTACCTGCCCTCCAGAGCCATCTTTGTCCATGATGAAAATGTTCCTGTTTTGCACATTTAAATTTCCAAGCCAACAAGCCACTGAGAAGATGTGATTTTACAGTGCATCAGCTTTCTGCCAGCATTAACAATAATATACCATCTTTGTTGCTCTTTCTGGCATATTGGTTCACTCATCATGTAAAAACTCAATATTATATAAGTTTAACAACCAAAGTGAAACTTCTGTTTTATCTGACTAATATTTAGAGGCCAGAGCTTCCTGCAAAAAAGCTAAAGTCAACAAGTAATCCTGCAGAGAATACAGATTTGCATTCAGTGATCATATGATGTGCAGGGTGCTAAATAAACATTTCAGACCGTGTTTGAAACAGGTGTTTTTTTTTCTCCTGAGAAATGTGTTTTGTGAGTGAGGATCTCCAGATGACTCACAGCTTCAGCAGTAGTAACAGGTCCTGAAGCTGTCATGATTCATTCACCACTCTGTTACAGTTGTAGGATTTGTCCCTTATTTTTTTCCCACTTTCTTCCTTTATGTTCCATCCATTTCATCTAATTTCTTCCCCTTTTGCCCATTTTCTACCTTCACTTCTTCCCTTTCCTTTCTGTTATTACCTCCGCCAAGAGCGTTCTGTTGTTACCGCTGTTTGTTGGTTTGTACGCAGCATAACTTAAAAAACATTGAATGGATTTTGATAAATTTTCTAGGAGAGGTGGTGTATGGTCCACGGAACAATCAGTTACAATTTGGATGTGATCCAGGTCATCCCAAACCACAGTTTTATAATGGCATTATGAGGAAACTGAGCTGCCTGATTCTTTGTAGTTTTCTCTTTTTTTCCAGTTCTAGTTTACTCAAAACCCACAATGGCAACTAACATGTACATTCATCTGCCAAATACTAATTGTTCGTCCATAAAATGTTTTGTCCAAACAACAGTTCAAATGTTAATTAACCAAAATGTCACTTCTGGCAGTTTGATAAACGAGCCCCATGCGCATTACTGCATGTCAAGAGCTAACAGTGTGCGTATACATATATCTCCACCCACAGAGGCGATGAGGACAACCTGAAGTCTGCAGCCAGTTTCTAAGCAACACCAGAAGCAACACGTGTTTTACTGTACTACACCATGGCCTACAAGGTAACAGCACCACTATTCACCACACCGAACTCAAGCTGGGAACTACATAGCAAACACCAGCTGGGGGGACATTTAGGGGACACAAAACAGGAATGGAGACCGTTGATGAGTTGTGGATTATTCAGCTTATCAGTGCAAGTACACAGTAACACTTTATAATGTGATACAGCCTGTGATTTACAGTGAGAATCAGGAGCATTTTTGTAAATACTGGATATGTACATCCTAAGGTTAATGAGCCAGATATTTCTATAGATGCATGAATGCAGACCACTCCTTCCTTCAAGTGGAAGCAGCTGTTTCCTCCAAAAGCCTCCTTATTTCTTCCCTGAGCTCAGTCTTTTAAATCCTTTCTTTTGTTTTGAGCTGGATGTGCAGATGGTGCATTGACAGACTGAACCTGTCTCAGAGGATTCATTTCAGTAATCTCAACAGAGAAAGCCACAGAAATCTTGTCAGAATTCACCGTATACTGTTGGAAACAGTGTTTTTTTAGTTCACATCACTAAAAGGTTACATTCACTGTGACTCAAACACTTCGCAGCTTGTCGTCATTTTTTTATCAGATAGGTGAAAACCTACAGGAATTTATCAGTATGACGGGCCCCAAGATCAAAGCATATACAAGACCCAAATCACACACATTAAAGCTACTCTCCCTAATATACACCGAACAAAATTGTAAACGCAACGCTTTTATTGTTTTTGTTGTTGTTGTTGTAAGGTGTACCTTAGGCTGGCCACAATAAAAGGCCACTCTAAAATGTGCGGTTTTACTGTACTGGGGGGGTCTGAAAACCAGTCAGTCTCTGGTGTGACCACCATTTGCCTCACGCAGTGCAGCACATCTCTTTCGCATAGAGTTGATCAGGCTGTTGTTTGTGGCCTGTGGAATTTTGGTCCACTCCTCTTCAATGGCTGTGTGAAGTTGCTGGATATTGGCAGGAACTGGAACACGCTGGCGTACACGTCGATCCAGAGCACCCCAAACATGCTCAGAGGGTGACATGTCCGGTGAGTATGCTGGCCATGCAGGAACTGGTATGATTTCAGCTTCCAGGAATTGTGTACAGATCCTTGCAACATGGGGCCGTGCCTTAATCATGCTGCACCATGAGGCGATGGGCGTGGATGAATGGCACAACAATGGGCCTCAGTATCTTGTCACGGTATCTCTGTGCATTCAAAATGCCATCGATAAAATGCATCTGTGTTCGTTGTCCATAACATACGCCTGCCCATACCATAACCCCAGCGCCACCATGGGCCACTCAATCCACAACGTTAACATCAGCAAACCGCTCACCCACACGATGCCATACACGCTGTCTGCCATCTGCCCTGTACAGTGAAAACCAGGATTCATCTGTGAACCTGGTTGGACAAACTGTACAAAATGCAACTATCTATTTTCTGTTTTCTACGTAGACGTATGTATGGTTCATTGCAATCGACACTGGTGATGGTTGTACCATGGGAAAGTGTGCATCACTGAATCTAAAATGTGTCATGTCGGTGAGTTATGACTCAGAGAAGGGCTATAATTTTTGATGTATGTGCTGTTGGCCGCTAAGGTGCCTTAATATTCTCCAGGACTTATTTGTCACAGCCACTGTTGCAGCTACTTTTCCTGACCATGCTGGTGAGAGGGCCAGATCAGCTCCCTAGATGTGCAGAAGCCACACTGTTCACCAGCCTCATTAATTCCATTAAATGCCGACTGACAGTTAGGGTGAATAAAAGCACTGTGGGATAAAGGGCGATGCTTGAAGCCGTCTTGGCTTCTGTTCCTCTAATGTACTGCCTCCTTCCTCTCTTTTCTCCATATCCTTTCAGGCTTTCTCTCATTCTCTTTGTCCCACTTTCCCCCTCGTCTTTTGCAGTCTGGCCTATCCTCTGATGAATTTAATCACCTTCTTCCTCCTGATTTTTCCCCCCAGTTTCACTTACTCACTTTCAGCCTAAGAAGCAGGGATTCACTGAAAAACAACAACTACAAACTGCTTTTTGGGAGTTTGTTTTATCATTAAAAGGTTAACTAAAATTACATGCAAAATATTTTCTCAATCACCTCTAGTAGTATCTCACCAGGCAGAAGATTTAAATTTATTCATTAGGGCATTTTAACAATAATAATAATAATAACAATAATAATTTTGTTGTATTGATAAAAAATGTCAATTGATGACAATTTAAATTAATACACATCTTTATTTTTGCAGCTACATTACAATAAAGGTAAATAATTACTCTATTTCAGTAGTTTAAATGGGTGATAAAAATGGTAATTAAAAAGAAAAAGAATGTCAATGCATGAACCAACAGGTCAAATTAAAAGCCAGTTTCCAGTAAAGACCAGGGTAAAAGTGTCATGATAAATGCAAAATAAAAAAAGCAGTAAATTCTTAATTCAATTGGTAAATATATTCATGTTTTAAAACCACAAGTTTGCATTTTTATTATTTAGGTATTCAGTAACCTGTTTTTAAATGATCTATTTGGCAGTTTAAAATTTTTTTTTTTTAAATTTGTTATTGAATTTATTTATTAAATTCAGAATATATGTATTTGTAAATATTTCCTATCATAATACTTTGTACAGTAAATACTTGATAATTGGTGGGAACTGTTCTCATTTTACTTCTTGCATACTTTACACAACACTAGATAAACTTATCTGGATGGTACGTTGCGAATGTTTGTCCTCTGCAGATCCCTGGGGCAGCGATGGACCGCGTCAGCCTGCTGTGGCGTCTGAGGCGTCGGGCTCGCCGTGGAGCTTTCTTCATGGCTGCCTTCTGCATCTCTATGGCTCTGCTCTATGCCCTCTGTGCTGAAAACAGCGTTCCCGTCACCGACGCCATCTTCGGGGTCCGGGCGCGGACTCGGGCTCAGCCTCATGCACACACTGTCATCAAGGTTTGTGCAATGTTTCAGTGCTAACCATGTCCACGCAGCTTCCTGGAGGGCACAGGGGCAGAAACATGTTCTTGGACCAGTACTCTATATCTGAAATGATTAGCTGATCGACTTATTAGACCTGGGCCTTGCTAAATATTAGCACAAAGAAGCCATTTCCTAAGTCAGGAAAGCTGATAAAATGTTTTAATTCTAGTCCTACAAGTAGGACCAAGTAGGTGCCAGTGAGACCCCAATGCTGGTTCACTCCTGGTTTGAACTACAGTCCCACTGACTCCCACAGGTGCTGCGAGGCGGAGCCAAGCCCATGGTCCTCGACCCTCAGAAGCTCCCAGGTGTGGTCCCAGGTGACCCTCACCGTCCAATCCCTGTTCTGTCCTCCCCAAACCACACCCATGAAGCCAAGGACTTGTCAAAGTGGAAATCAAGAAAGCAGGAGTCCTCTGGGTTTTTCACTCATCTGCTGCCACGCCCCTTCACGCGTGCGCTAGAAACCCTGTTTGGACGTCAGCGGAAGGGAGAGCTGAGTGGCAGAGAGGAATTATTCGGGCCTCATGGGGTTTTGGGAGAAGTGTGGGATGATGAGATGTCCAGCAGCATGCTGGGAAGCAGACTGAAGAAGGCGGTGACAAATTATCAGGTAAGAGTTTATAATGTGGTCTTCACATTTCTGACATTAAATTTATCTGCAATTTGAGAATGTTAAAGCAGCTATAATTGATATTTTTATGTGATAATGCAAAAGGTGTCTGATGAACATACAGAGAATGATCGCCTGACTCTGCAGCTCCCCTCAGCTTCACAAAGCTTTATAATGAGTTTCAGCTTATTGTTTAATTCAGTTCAATTCAGTTTTATTTATATGGTGCCAAATCACAACAAAAAGTCATCTCAGGACACTTTACAAAGAGATAAGAAAAACTCAGAGCATCATGGGCCCCCCAGCAGCCTAGGCCTATAGCAGCATAACTAAGGGATGGCTCAGGATCATCTGATCCAGCCCTGACTATAAACTTTATCAAAAGGTCTCAAGTCTAATCTTAAAGGTAGAGAGGGCGTCTGCCTCCCGACCTGAAACTGGGAGCTGGTTCCATAGGAGGAGCTTGATAGCTAAAGGCGCTGCCTCCCATTCTACTTTTGTGGACTCTAGGAACCACAAGTAAACCTGCACTCTGAGAGCGAAGTGCTCTGTTAGGATGATAAGGCTCTACGAGGTCTTTAAGATACGATGGAGCCTTGTCATTAAGGGCTTTGTATGTTAGGAGAAGGATTTTAAATTCTATTCTGAATTTTACAGGGAGCCAGTGGAGAGAAGCTAATATGGGAGAGATATGATATCTCTTGCTAGTTCCTGTCAGTACTCTGGCTGCAGCATTTTGGATTAACGGGAGGCTTTTTAGGGAATTATTGGGACATCCTGATAGTAAAGAGTTACAGTAGTCCAGCCTGGAACTAACAAATGCATGGACCAGTTTTTTAGCATCACTTTGAGACAGGATGCTCCTAATTTTTGCAATATTGCGCAGGTGAAAGAAGGCAGATCTAGAGACTTGGTTTATGTGTGATTTAAAGAACATATTCTGATCAAAGATGACTCCAAGGTTCCTCACAGTAGTACTGGAGGCAAGAGCTATGTCATCTAAAGTAACTATATGACTAGACATCAGATTTCTAAGGTTTTCAGGCCCAAGCACAATAACTTCAGTTTTGTCAGAGTTTAGAAGTAAGAACTTGCAGGTCATCCAGGCCTTTATGTCTTTAAGACATGCTTGAAGTTTGACCAACTGACCTGATTCATTTGGCTTCATAGATAAATATAACTGAGTATCATCTGCATAGCAATGGAAAATTATGTTGTGCTTCCTGATAATAATGCCTAAAGAGAGCATGTATAAAGTGAAGAGAATTGGACCTAACACAGAGCCCTGTGGAACGCCGTGACTAACTTCAGTTTGTGTGGAACATTCGTCATTAACATGAACAAATTGAAATCTTTCTGATAAATAAGATTTGAACCAACTTAGCGCAGTTCCTTTAATCCCAATAACATGTTCAAGTCTCTGCAGTAAGATGCTGTGATCAATGGTGTCAAAAGCAGCACTGAGATCTAAGAGGACAAGTATGGAGACAAGTCCTTTGTCCGAGGCTAGGAGAAGATCATTGGTGACTTTCACCAATGCGGTTTCTGTACTATGATGGACTCTAAATCCTGACTGAAAATCCTCAAACAAATCATTCTTGTGCAAGTGGTCACATAACTGCTTTGCATTAACTATGTTAGATTCATTAACAGATTTGAGTCAAAAATCGCTGCCACATCTCCACCTCGGGCCTGTGCTTTGGGGGATGTGACAGTTACTGTGACTAGGTGGGGCGGATTAATTTAGACTGACATGTTTGAGAATGTTAAAGTTTCAGTCAGACACAATAAATCAATGTGATGTTCACTTATCACAGGCTTGATTCAGGCTGGTTCACTCTCAGTGTTGTTTTCAGCTCCAGCAGGAAGCAGCTCTCAGTGTGTTCACACCTTGTTTCTCCTGAAAACAAGAATACAAACTATCATCACAGGTTTAAACTTTAGTCTGTTTTCCATATTTGAATTTAAGAGTACTCAATTGATTAATTATTGTACTTCTATAACATTGTTGGACTCAAATTTTACAATTTCATAATAAGAATTAAAATCAGCTCAGCAAAATGAGAGTGGCTATCAAAAGAAGCCGGAAAAACTAACATGGATGCTAAGTTCAAGAGGCCTTAGAGGCCATCAAAAAGGAGAAAGCCAGACAAAAGCACTTCTGAGTCAGTCAGGGCAGAAGAAACCCAGAAGAAGGCTGCAGAGGAAGAAGGAGAAAAGTAACAGGCCCGTTCTACTACAAAAGAACAGGACATACACATACACTCCTTTCCATCTGACACCCTCTGAACATGGCACTTTCATGGTCACCTCTGTAAAAGTCACAACAGCAGTTTTATTTACCACTTTCTGAACTGCATGAGGACACATTAACAGGTAGGCACAAAATTACGATGATCTCATGCGTATCGTTGTCTAGGAGAAGATGAATAGGGTAGGGGCTGCTGGCCTAAAGACCTGCAGGCACTGGTGGAAAGTAACGGATTACATTTACTCGCGTTACTGTAATTGAGTAGTTTTTTTGTGTACTTATACTTTTTAAAGTAGTTTTTAAAATCTGTAATTTTACTTTTACTTAAGTATGTTTTGTTTGAAGTATTGTACTTCGCTACATTTTAAATCATATTCGTTACTGAGTAAAAAATAAATTAATTTAAAAAATAAAAGTATGGCAACGGGGAAGGAAAAATAATCGCGCCCCGGAAGCACTGCACTGATTGATTGATTGATGGGTGGGGAGGACAAGCGCGCTAAACTCACAAGAAGATGAAGATGGACGAAGGAGACGCCAGTGATGGAGCCACAGCTGAAAGCAAAATGCCATCAAGTTTCTTATATAAAGCAAACTCCTGGCCATATTTAAGCGACCAGTTTGATTTTAAGCGCGAGAAAGTGCAACGGCTTTATTATGCTGTGTAAATTGTGTTTGCCAAAGTCGACTAAACTGGCAGCTTATAAAAACTCGACATCAAACCTGCGCAAGCATGTTGTGTTAAGTTTAACTTACTAAGTTAATATTACTTGTATTTATAGTTTACATAATTGTTGTACTGTTGCGTTGCCTCAGTGTGTGACATTGTCAATGTTGTTAGCATCAGGGCTAGTAATTAACAGGGACAACACACAATTGAGCAGTGCCACGACTGCCATACGAAATGAATGAAACGTGTTACATGTTAGAGTAGATCTGCTGATGTTGCAAAAGATTTAAGCATTACTGTAACATTAGTCAGTGTTACTCATAGAAGACTGTGTTTAATGCTC